CAGGGGAAAAAAATGTAATTCAAACTTAGTGTCAATTATATTTCAAGAGCCCATAATTCAAAAGTGTCCTGGCAGATTTATAGGCACGTTAAATACTGCCCTTAGTTTAACTATCAGTCCCTGTCACACATAGTCCTTTTCTTTATATTTCATAGTGTCAGAAACAGCTGTGAATGTTTTCTTGTCATTAAGGTTAACTCCTCTTTGGTTTTGGTGTAATTAATTGTCACTTCTGATTCAAATTTAAAAGGAATATGCCGATAAATATTTATGTCATGCTTGCCATCTGCTCTATTTTGCACAATATGCTAATCATTAGCAGGGCACTGTTTCGATATACCTGATATTGTATTAGTCAAGCTCAGGATTTATAATAGGAGCAAATCACATTAATGCATATGGAAGACAGTGCAGAAGTCTCACTGCAGGTGTATTTCCAAGGGCTTTAGTAGATCACAGGTGCTGTATCAAGGCTGGAACTTTGGATCTGTACCACAATACACTTCTGCCACCTCATCCAAAACAGCATAATTAATAACCCTTCCAGCACTGGGCTAGATGCCCACATTTTTTAACTGATGCCTATACAGGTTTCATATTTTGACCACTACAAGGATTGATTAAAAATAGTCTCAGATACATTCTGAACAGCCCCAGGCAAATAAGAACAAAGGATCTTAAAAGTGGATGAAGCAAAAACCACTATCTGCTTTTGTAGAAATGTACAATTTCTGAAGGTGGATTGTGTTTAAAATGAAATTGTTGGGTGAGCATGCAAGGGGAAATAAACCAATCAAGCAATTAAAACAGGGTAGTTCTGTCGTGCTTCCCATACATAGAAACCTGCTTGGATGGTTGTGGTGAGAGAAGCAATCTTCTACTATGTGAAAATTAAAAATCTGTTCTCAAATCTGTAACTTTTCTTCCCCCCATTACCCTGATTATATTCATAAAACCAGAGTACTGACAATGTGTGAATTTATGGTTCCTGCATTCCCAGTTTAGTTGTTGCAGGTGCTTGTGATAGAACAATCCAAACAGCATCTTACATATGGCAAACAGGGCAGAATCATGCTGCTTTCATTGACTGACTTTCTGTTAGCTTGACATGCATATACCGAGCAACTTAGTTTTAAACAAGAGCCACACTCAGAAGCCATACACTCATACATTAAGTAACAACAACTGACTCTATGTGTATTGCAATATGAATAAGAGGAAATGACTATACTCATGGCCTTTGCAGCAGCTTCTGAAATAGCTACTGACTTATTTTTATTTCATTTTATATCATTTTTTACCTACAATCCAAGGGAGGTGAGGGAGACAGACCTCTGCACCAGTTTTCTCCTCATAGCACCTATTTGAAGTAGGCTGAGTTCCAAGGAGATAGAGACAGAGACACAGAAAAAGGTGGATGGAGTGGGTGAATAAAGTTACTGCTGAGCCAATGAGCATACTGGACACTTCTTCTGATAAGCTAGGTTGCCCATAGCTGGCCGGACAGCTCAGTGGTTTAAGTATCTGGCTGCAGAGATTGGGAGTTCAATTTGAGCCTGACACTAAGGCTACTAGGCCACAGTGGCTTATGTATTTGCTTGCATAGCAGAAGGAAGAAGAGATGTGCAATAGAAAAGCAATGATCTGATTCGCTTTTGTGGCTGGGATAGAACTCAATATAGCTTTATCTGCAGGCTCTTTTGCTACCTACCTTTGTGAAAATCTTTTGCAGGCAAAAAGTTACTCCATCTCTAAATGGATGGTATCCCTGCCATCATCCATGGAAGAAACCTTCAGTTGAACAGATTAATCAGATTTTTACATAGCCTATTACTGAGCCACTCAACAGCAAGTAAGAGCCACATCCTGGTGACAGGCAGGAAGCTTTATGCATTTGTTCTTTCTCCCACGTCTAGACATCAAATAATTATCATAAACTATTTTTACAAGTCGTACAGATAAACTCGTAAACTCTTTTGTGTCTTGCATTAATGGGCTTTGGCAAAACAGGAACAGAAAGGCATTGTCTTTTGGTCATATTACTTAATATTTCCTACACAAAGGAACACACAATGTCCTTTAAAGCAGTGGTCCCCAACCTTGGGCCTCTAGATGTTCTTGGACTACAACTCCCAGAAGCCTTCATCACCACCTCTGCTGGCCAGGATATCTGGGAGTTGAAGTCTAAGAACATCTGGACGCCCAAGGTTGTGGACCACTGCTTTAAAGCATAACACTGTCATTGTACCCAGAGAGTAACTTCCCACTGAGAAATGATCCAAAGTGCATGGATTTGCTATTGCAACAGTTTTAACCTCCAACCATATTATTTTTCTTCCTTGCCAGAATATAATTAAGGTGTTTTAAAGTCTGAGTAGCAAGCTGGAGATTAGAACTAAAAATACCTTTACTAATAATAGCTTAGGATCAGTTAAAAAAAAAGCAAGCAAAAGAATAAAGCAGGTTTTTTTCTTGTTAAAAGGAGTTTAAATTATGCTTACAAATTGAAAGATAAGGTAACAGCTACCCATGGTCCTAATTCCCAACTGCATGGCATAGTTTAGAACAAGGGTTCCCAATCTGGCGTCCCCAGATGTTCTTGAACTAAAACTCCCAGAAGCCTTCACCACTAGCTGTGCTGCCCAGGATTTCTGGGAGTTGTAGTCTAAGAACACATGGGGACACAAAGTTGGGAAGCATTGGATTAGAACACTGGTTCTTAACCTTGGGTTACTCAGGAGTTTTGGACTGCAACTCCCAGAAGCCTTCACCACCAACTGTGCTGGCTGGGGTTTCTGGGAGTTGCAGTTCAAAAACATCCGAGTAACAAAGGTTAAGAACCACTGGATTAGAACAATGCCTAAAGGCCAGGCAAGTTCACAAACAGAACTGTAGGATGCTCAGCATGTTGCTATTCTCCACCAATGTTTCCTTACTTATAAGAAAGGAAAAGTCTTGTCTTAAGTTCATCAAGTTGAAGCAGGAGTGGACAATCTGTACCCCTGAAGATATTGTTTGATTTCGACTCACACTGTCCTTCATCATTGGCTGTGCTAACAAGGGCTAATGGGACTTATGATGTGACCAGACTTGCTCATTCTTCTCCTAAAGTGACTGCAGTTATTTCTGGTAGTGGCTCAGAGCTATATAAATACAGCATTAAAAATAATAACATTTTAAGCATTATAATCTAGCAAAGCAACATATCATTTCAGTTCAACACAAAATCTTCTTCACTAACATTATGGTAAATTTTGATTAACAAGTTCTTAAGATGAAGATATATATGTAGATGTAGATATGCCTCGATTGACTGATTGATTGCATTTTTATGCAGCCTTTCTCCCAGTGAAGGGATTCAAGGTGGCTCACATATTACGGTATTAGAACCAAACCAATTGATAACATGATAAACTGTTGCATTAGAAACAATTAAATATATAACAGTACTAAAATGGAAAACTCCTTAAGAACATATGTCAAATAATAATAAAATAATATCAATAATGTATAACACCCGAAAAGGAAAGGAGGTAGGAAGCCAATCTGGAAGTAATGTCAGAAGAGGTGTTCCCACCAGACATGCCTGTGATGGCAGTAGGACTGGAAGAAGGACTTCCTCTGAAGATATTAGGAGCTGGGAAATCTCATATGAAGATATATTGTACTTCAAATAGCTTAGACCCAAGCCATATAGGGATTTATAGGTTATAACCTGCCCTTTGAACTGGACCCAGAAATTCCTATACCCTCATCTGCCATTTGACAGACCCGGAGAACCTCTGTCTTGCCTGGATTAAGTTTCAATCTGTTTGCCCTCATCTAGTCCATTACTGACACCAGACACTGATTTTAACTGAAACCACTTCCTTAGATTTAGCTGTAAAGGACAGAGTTGGATGTCATCTGCATATTGGCAATGTCAAATGTCAAAACTCTTCCAGGTAGCAGTTAAACAGCATAGGAGATAAGAGAACTCTGAGGGATGCCACAGGCCAGTGGCCAGTGTGTCAAACAGAAGTCCCCAAGCACCACCTTCTGAAATCACCAAAAAGGACTGTACCACCAATAAAGACTGCTTCATACATTACTACACAGAATACTCTGTAATAGGCAGAACTATACTACAAGACGCGGTTCTAAACAAAATGCACAAAGTTCGTGCAACTAATTTATTCTATTAGTTATTGTATCTGTTGAATGTTTGTATTATCTTATTTTTCTCGTGTTTCGATATTGTATTGTCTTGTTGTTAGTCACCCAGAGCGGCCTGGTTGCCGATGCTGCAGGGTATAAATCCAATAAATAAATAAATAAGACTTAATGAGACTTTTACCAGTGGCCATCTTATCATCACTGACACCCTTCCCCTTCCTTGGTTATTTCCCTCATTTCAGGTCTGTCCCATCTATCACTATTTTACTTGCTCTTGATCTTTTACTCACTGATTCTCCATTTCCAAACAGATACATTGGTTTCTGATACTACATCTGTTCTTTCATGACTTCTTTTAACTCAATTCCCATTATTTTTCTTCTTCACAAGAAATCCACTATTCTTTCACTCTCTCCCTTATCTATCAACCTACTTTCACTCTCTCCCTTATCTATCAACCTTCCTGCTCTGAAATCCAAATGTATTATGATTATCAGACCCTTCTGTAACATTTTTCCATGTAGAGAAGCCTTCCCCAATCTGGCATGCTCCACAGGTCTTTAATTACAACTCCCACCTCCAGTGCCCAACAACTGTGGTGCCCCAGATGGTGAGAATTATAATAATACATCTGAAGGGTGCTCTGCTGAGGAAGGCTAATATAGAGTCTGGTTTTTCTACATTATGCTCTCCCTGCATATGTGGGAGGAATTACATGGAAAGGAAAAAAGCCACCTGTTCTTTTATGAGACAGGCCCAGCAACAGAAATGATAACTAATGTTCTTTCTTCACGGCTCTGACTGCACATTTCCTCTTCAAGGGTGCAGATCTGTCAAGTACTTACTGAGGTGTAGTTCTTTTCTAACTTGTCCTCCACAATGCCAATTTGACATGGTGTCCTTTGGTTCTGCAACCAGTAATCTGTTGATTCAAGCAGGCTGTTACTGCACAACACCTGTGGAAACAAGAATTTTATAGTTCTTCTTAGAACAAAATCACAACACCAGGACATTATTTCATTGGCAGCCTAAGTGAGATTTTTCCAATCAATTCTTGTTAGAGTCACTGAAAAAAGTAAAGGTATTGTGGTTGACTGACTTTTTTGTTTTGAACGAGTTGACTGAGTGACTTGCAAAGATTAATAATTTAGATGAACACACTATAGTTTAGAGTTACATCTAAACCAAGAAACACAAGGAGCTTGAATTGACAGTAGGCATATTACTTGTGGCACAGGCAAGCAGGACAAGGGATAACTTAGAAATAAATAGGTCATCGGGCCCCATTAGCTGCTCAGGAAAGCCTATAAGTTAGTTGGTTAATGCCTCTTAAAGGACACCAGAAAGCAGGCTGAAATTAACATTGTCAGATGAATAGCATTCTAAGAACAGCATAAGCTCTTAAAGGCACCTGGTGTGAGTCCTTTTTATTACAGCTGCCCTAAACTAAAAAAACGAAGACTGCAATAAAAATGGAAGAAACCATTTTTGAATTTTATCCCAAGACATTTTTTCCCTAGTGGAAAAAAATTAGAAACTTTGGGGATCATGTGTGTGTGTGTGTGATAAAATATTTTCTGAGTCAGAATGAATGATTTTTAATGAGATTTATATAATATGTAAGGTAGCAGAGGACAATGGCATCCATTCCGGAGTAGTGCATAGAGTGATAGAGTAGGATTCAAGAGACCTTGTTTTAAATCCTCGTTCAGACATGGGAACTCACCAGGGCTATGGAACAGGTAAAACCACTGCTTAACTATCTCTCTTACCTTGAAAGCCCTATTAGGGTCACTGTAAGTCAGTTCTGACTTAATGGCACATAAAAACCACAAAGAAAAATTATTTCTGAGCACAGTATAAGCCTATAAAATGATCAAATCCAAAATGCATTTCTGCTTCAGTGGGTCCTGCCATTTTCATGAGAGAAACATACATGGGAACCTTTGCTGCTTGTGGACAGCCTTAACAAGGTAACCTTTACTCTACTCTGGTGAAGACAGTCTATAGTACAGGTAGGACCTTTTTTGGCCCAAATAGTATATAATAGCCTACTCAGTTTTAATGGCAGCTGGTGTGAATCTTATTTTTGAATTACCACAAATTCTTCATTCATATCAGAACACTCCCATTGTGCAATTTAAAATCATGGACAAATGTGAAATACAGATAAAATTAAAACCAAATTAAAATGTTGGGATAATTAGACTATTTTTTGACCAGAAGTGGTTAATTTGCCATTAAGTAACAATATTACATCTGTTGTTGCTTGCTAAGTTTTTTTTTATGGAAAGGGAGAGTATAATTTATTTCTGTGTCTTCAGAATTTTCAAAAATGTTACTTCACTACATTCAATGCTAGATAGCTCAGTGGCTTAGGTATTTGGCTGCAGAGCCACAGGTTGGGAATTTAAATCTCTACTATGCCTCCTTGACAAAGGCTGGATTCAATGAGTCTTCCAGCTCTGCAATTCTAAGATTATTATTATTGTTATGAGTGATCTGTGTCTTTCACATTAGAGCAGTCTTATTGTATAGATCAGCGGTCTCCAAAATATGGCCCACAGGCCACATCTAGTCCACCTTGCCATTTTATCCAGCCCATTCATTTCAGCCTATGCATGGAGGGGGCACACATGTGTCCTTGCATGGGACAGGTGCATGCAAATGGGCATCTGTGCGGGTGGTTGGGCAGGTGTTCATGGGGGTGGGGGGAGTACATGCATGAGTGCTGGTGTCCATGTGGGCAGGCGGGGGGGTGCATGCAGGTGGGTGTCTGTGTGGGTATGTGAGTGCATACGTGTGTGTGCATGTTTCTGTTCCTTTGGCCCTCAAGGATGTTTAAATATCTGGTGTAGCCCTTGCGGTCAAAAGTTTGAAGACCCCTGGTATAGATTAAATATGTTCTGGTATTACACCTGAACCAAGTCAAGATGTGAAATTTTGCTTTTTAGATTGTAGGAGTCATATTTTGCCACCCTTGTAAAAGTAGTAGAGATTTTCATCAAAAAACAAACAAACCCTGATGCATTCAAAATATGGTGTTGGAAGAAAGCTTATTTATTCATTTATTTGTTCACTTTATATACCACCCATCTACAGCAATCAAATCTGAACTCTCACTTAAAGTTCTATGTAACTTTCTCCCAGGTAAATGAGTACAGAATTACAATCTCACAGCACATCCTAGGTATGTTTATTTACAACTCGTTGAACTAGTAAACCAACTTTGAACAAGACAGCCTGGCCATGATGGTTTGCAGAATTTTTCGATTTCTTCTGCAACCCTCAGCTCTGTAGTGCTAGGCCTGATGAAGAGTTTTGCAGGACTTCAATGCTTGTTTGTTTCTTTGTGAGATTTCAGCGCTCTAAGAAACGAAACAAGGCTTTCTACCTTTGTTTCCAGAATCTGTGGAAGGATCATACTTTTTTTCTTTCATGCTGTCACTCTCTTTTGCACAAAAGTCCAGGAGGACTCCATGTGCTCAGTAAAAATAAACAAGTGCAACCTGCAACAAAATGTTCTACCTTAGAGTCGTCATTGTCATCGTTTAGTCATGTCCGACCCTTCATGACCCCATGGATCAGAGTACACCAGGCCCTCCTGTCTTCCACTGCCTCCCGGAGTTGGGTCAGATTCATGTTGGTCACGTCGATGACACTATCCAACCATCTCATTCTCTGTCACCCCCTTCTCCTCTTGTCTTCACACTTTCCTGACATCAGGGTCTTTTCCAGGGAGTCTTTTCTTCTCATGGGATGACCAAAGTATTGGAGCCTCAACTTCCGAATCTGTCCTTCCAGTGAGCACTCAGGTTTGATTTCCTTTAAAAAGGATCGGTTTGTTCTCCTTATAGTCCAGGGGACTCTCAAGAGTCTCCTCCAGAACCACAATTCAAAAGCATCAATTCTTCAGCAGTCAGCTTTCTTTATGGTTCAGCTCTCACTTCCATACATTGCTACTGGAAAAACCATAGCTTTGACTATGCGGACTTTTGTTGGCAAGGTGATGTCTCTGCTTTTTAAGATGCTGTCAAGGTTTGTCATCGCTTTTCTCCCAAGAAGCAGGAGTAGCTTGGAGCACTCCTTCTCAAAATTCTTCTTCTACTATGTCCTCTTGCCTTCTACAACTCGTTTGCTCCCCAATAATCAGTCAGCATCTGCCACCTAGTCAACATGCTTCATCTGTTGACAAGTGTTCTCAATTACAGATTTTTTTTCTTGTACTTTTAAAAACCTGATACAACTGCACAGATGGTATCATACTGACTACTCAAGAATAAACACTCAGTGAAAAAGTCTGTTATTTGTACATGGCAGGCTTGGAGAACATGCGCCTCTCCAGATGTTTTTGGACAGAACCTCCCATACTCTTCTTTTAGCCACTGGCTATAATTGCACGAGCTGATGAGAACTGCTGGCCAAAAACAGGTGGAGGACTACAGTTGCTCAGCCTGACAGTGGGAAACTTAGGTCTCCTTGTTTCATATATCTCATGTATCACAGCTAGAGATGGGGATGAAGCACCAAAATGGCACTTCATACAATCACGGTAATGGAAATAAGGTGAGATCACTTGTTAGCTGTTTCTGTAGCAAGATATTTGAACATGTGGCTTCATTATATTAAAGCAGTTTATGATGCAAATGGGCCTGCTCTAACTGTGCAAAAATAGGCCCATTTCAACTAACAGAATTTACAGAGTTGACTCAACAAAGCCACACCAATTTAGTGGGCTCATACCGAAAAATCAGGACAGGGGACGGATTTTATCTGTCTTCAGTGTGGAAGGGATGGTCACTCTCGAATTAGCCTCCTCAGCCACACACTAGACACTGTTCCAAAACCTCTGTTCAGAGCAGGCTACCATAATCTCTCGAGGCTGAAAGATACCTACAACAAACCACACAAAGTGACAGGGTTTTGGCCAAGGAGAAACAGAAGGGCTAATTTCTTAACTATAAGCAATTTGCTATTGAGGTCTATCCCAGAAGGTGTAAGTAATAGGATTCTGGCCAATGTCTGACATAATGAAGAGTCTTCCAAAAGAGATCATAAGTATTTTAAGAATTCAGAAAATTAGCATTCAAATAGATTCATCTTCATTACTTTTTAGAGAAACTTGTTGAAGTCTTCTCTAGTCAAATTTCAAATTTAGTTAGATTTGAGTTAAACAATCAAGACTACGCCTTGACAGATGTACAAAGGAAAAAGCAAATCTTTTTCTCAGAGATTATTCACCAGCTTGGAATTTCTGTTTCAAAATTTTCCTGTTTAATACAATACTTTAATTCCTTGTCATTATAGTAACAGCTCGGAGAGAAGCTTCCATAATTTTCTAGATATTCCATTAAGAAGTTTATTTCTCTATACCCTACCTATTTTTTATTTTCCTAAAAGCTTAAATGAAGATCCTACTATTGCTATTTGTAATTCAATTCAAAGCCCAAATTCTATGGTTCAGCAATGGAATGGTATATCTTGAAAACAGTGGAATCTCACTTCTTCAATGGAAAATAGCATCTGTTCAGAATACTTAAGGCTCACACTATCCTGCTTAAGGACACATATTTGGACTAGATCAGAAGAGGGAAGCATATGGTCCTCCAGATATTATTGGACTACAACTCCCCTGATTCCTCACTATTGGCTTGCAAACCACATACAGTGGTGCCCCGCACAGCGAGGTTAATCCGTTCCGGATTAACCTTTGCTGTGGGAAACATCACACTACGGAACATAAAAAGGCATTGCAACGCATTAAACAGCATTTAATGCGTTCCAATACCAAAGAATACTCACCGTTGTGCGATGTTTCCCAGGGGCTGGCAGCCGTTTTCGCGCCCTCCCCTCGCACAACGAGGGCACCAAAATGGCTGCCATCAGCTGTCCGTCGGGTCCAAAATGGCCGCCGGAACAGCCAAAAGGGGCCGGGGCGCAGCGTTTTCGTGCCTTT